TTGTTATTGGATTTGCATTGCACCCAAGACTACGATGAAATTTCAGACCCTGCTGCTAGACTGTAATCTCGAAATTCCAAAATGGACTGTAGAGGAAACGAAAATCCCCACAGTCAGGTGAGGCTTACTATAGAATAGAGTTAGATCGCCTGTCAAATTCGTGGTGGATACCGATCCTACTGGGTTACCAAAAAACGTTGTTTGGCTGTTAAATTTAAGCGATAATCAGATAAGCCGAGAGAGAGGGAGTATGCCAAAATGTTTTAAATCCTATTCTGCCAATTTTGCGAATTTTAGTTTTCGATACGCTGTTTAATACTGGCACAGGGCAACAGAGACGTAGGTGTGGCTGGCAGCGCTGGTGGTTTATGGTTAATTTTCCACGCATTCATTGAAACGGTTCGCAATGCATTTCAACTCTGACTCTTTCTTCAAGTGTTAATACTTTCGAAGAATGCAGGAAAGTGGTACGACATGCATAAATACTGGTAGACTTTTGAGGAAATGACTGAATACGTCAAGCCCCTGTTTGCTGCCGCAGATGAGACCGTGCAACAGAAGGCTTAATAAAGATCATGTAAAGCATATGGCTCCCTGCATAAATTTGAAAGAGAAAAGTGTATTATTATTCATCGACGCCGAAAAGTTTGCTACCGCTTTGAATCGGTTCTCGCGGCTTTTCAAGGTAAATAAAGGACAATAGCTACAGGAAGTCTACATTTGTTCAGATACGTTATACCAAAACGTCAAATTTAATCGATAAAAGAGTCATTAAAAGCGGCAAAAGAAAGGAAACAATAAAAGTCAGTGGCCTAAACATGGACATGGTAATTAAAATACTAGGAATTACCAGGGCGTGGCTAAGTTCATCATGTGATCAATTCCACTGCAGACTCAGAACTTTCCATCGCCATTTAGGATGCCCCAGCTCGCACAGTCTCAAGTTTTTGGATAGTATAAAACTTATGAGTCTGCGTCAAGGTCTTTGGAATGCCTGCTATCGAGCAAATGTTTCACATAAGAAAAGAGGAGGAAGTAACGATCATAACACCCCTTTAGGCAGTTACTTATCTGACTTGGCTATCATGGCGTTCGAATAGTAGACTTGCCCTTCAAGGTGGATATGTTTCCAAGAGGATGGTGCATTTTTAAAGCAAAATTGCTAATTCTGTTAGATCTTATTTCAATAAACTGAAAAAACGCATCAGGTTGAACCAGCTGGAAAAAATATGCACAATTATGTGATAAGGCAACAATTTACAAAACCAGTTGTCGGTTGCTGAGCTGAGTGATTGGTAAAACCTTAACACTCTCTTGTGCTACTGTTTATAAAGGAGACCGCAAGCAAATTAACTTTCGATATGTTAAAGGACACCCATTAAAGACTAAGATAAGTGTTTGGTAAAATTATTCTCTAATTTAGTGTGGTATTTTATTTCGTTCTTTTTTTAGGTGGCAGTCG